GCTCTCGTCGCTCTTCAGCCCGTTGCACTTGAAGTAATTCTCCAAATGCCAAAGGAAATTCTCCACCTCTTGCGCGTCACGGACGCCTTTGAACATAGGTGGCTTGGGAGCCTCGACCCTGGCCTCCCTATCTCGATCGAGCGACGATGATCCTCCAGCTGCCACACCTTCCTTGAGTGCTTTCATCTCGGCCTTCATAGTCTCAATCGTGCTCAACGCCTCCATGAGCCGACACTCCAAGGAAGTGATAGCCTCCTTCATCTCAAATTCAGCCCGCTGACGCCCCTCCAATTCCTTGCGGACGTTTTCGATCTCCTCAAGGGTGAAGTCCTCAAGAGTTTTGAATTTGCCGTCGGCCACATTCATGCGTCGGCCTAGTACCTCCACGGCCTGCCTTGCCACTTCTACCCTTGCGACCCAGTCTTCGCCAGCGGTGACGTCAATGGCCTCCTCACCGGGTTCCTCGTCACTTGCCTCGGTGGTCGAGGGTGGATGAGATGTAAGTGCCTCGCTAGGTGTGGGATCCGGCAGCATTTCTTCAGGACTCTTTTGGTGCTTCTTCCCCTTTCGGGCCTTCTTACCACCATCTGGACGGACGTTGGTGGTGCTAGCGGCGTTTATGTCTCCTTCTGTTGCCATTCCCTTAGTAACGAACCTCGCTCTGATACCACGTTGTCACGGACTTAGAGTCTTACTAAAGCTCCGTGCGGCACTTGACAACTTACTCACGAATCTTTCACGATCTTGTAAGCTCAAGTAAGCCTTTATGACTAAGATCGCTAAGAGAATGAAAAGGAAGACTTAGAGAATTTTGGAAGAAGGCTTTTATATTAGCTTGGAAGGAATGCTTTACAACTTTGCTTGGTTGCTTGCTTGCTTTCTTGGTTGGATGCCTTGCAAATGAATGGCACCCTCTATTTATACTAAATCCTAAGGACTAAAGTGCAAATAAAAATTACTTACAAGTCCCTAAGAATTTTAAATTACTTTCTAAGTCCCTAAACTTATTTACACAAAAGCCCCTCCCTAGAATTCTCTACACACTCTAGAGAATTCTAAGGCTTTCTTTGGAAACTATCTAAATTATTCTAGAGGAATTCTCTAGCCTTCTTGAATAATCTAAAAGGTTCTAGAGTCTTCCGGAAACCTCTCCACAACTCTAGATCCTTCCGCCCCTATCCGGACGCAAAATTTCACTGTGATGTGGCGGGACGTGACACATGGCAGCCTTAATTAGGAGACCTATATAAATAGCTTTACTTTAGGGACCACTTTGATGGCTTTTGTGCAAAAACACCTGTGGTACAAATATTAATATTAATACCAATTTATATTTTTTCAATAATTTTATTTTTTAAGTATTTGTAATTTTGTATGCGTTTGAAAAATGACGGTCATGCTCGTCTCGTATTTATTGATACATTTTTAGATTGATCCGACTTGTGCAATATCCACATCGATGAGAATAAGTCAGTTAATTATTGATAAATTGAATTGAGAATCACGAAATCGTAAATTTAATAAAGCAAAAATATTAGGTAATATATTCTTTCATTTATCTAAACTTTGGTGAAAAGAACTATATATTTGGTGCATATATATTCCATTGAAGTAGTCGTTATTACGTTGAAACACTAAACACATATTATACATATATTGATTTAACGGAAATAAATAATTGATACGAATAAATTGTTACGTACTTCATACGTCGGCAAACACAAGGGGATAAATCTGGAACTAATTATTAAATTGAGACTAATTTCATAAATAGTAAATCTCATTAGTCATTGGTGACATTGGAATCCACTCATGTTGTATTCACACGATATGATTATAAAATTATAGTAATTTGAGACTTTATACTAAAAAGAGAATTGAAAAAAATAAATAAATTGGATTTTAACTATTTTTAAACAATACTATGTATTTGAGAATATATCAATTTTCCTTAGTTAATATTGTAATTAACATGGGTCGTGATGAAATGATTGAGATCTTTTCACGCTTAATCAGTTCAGATTCGAGAGCCTTTGAGAATGAAAAAAAATCTTTATTGATAGTGTCAACCTCATAAATGAATCATGGTATACCTGAATATGAAAATTTAGTTGAACTCCACTATAGATACCGAGTTTCGTTTGAGAAACAAACAAAAAAATCTGGTTCAGTCCCCATAGACTATGTTCCCAAAATTCTCTGACTTTGGTCTAAGATTAGAATAACAAGTAACAATGACATTTTCACTATTAAATTTATATAGCGGAGCATATTTATATACCATCTTTCAAAATTATAACAGTGTTCATTTCATAGGGCGGAACTAAAATTTAGAGTTTACGGATTCTAAACTTGTTGTGTTGAACTCATAATCGTTATAATTATTAAGCTTGCAATTAATTTTTTATACATATTTAATGAATTTTCTAATATGAATTTAGGGTTTAAATAAAAGCTCGTCCGGCGGATTATATGAAATATATTTATACAATTAATTGTAAGAAGTAGAATATGATGTGTATTTCTTAATTAAATAAAAACCAAGTATAAACAAAGAAACCATATAAAAATTTCCCATTCAAAGAATAAAATTCTAAAAGAAGTAAATGCTACAAATCTTATAAATCCTTAACTAAAAGAGATAAATGTTACAAATCCTTCAGAAAGGTTAATGTATATGTATCTCACTTAAATAAAGATTAAGATTAAAAATAAAATTAAAAATAAAACTACCCTTTGATGAATTGTAATGAGTAATGACCCTAATTTTGATAATTTCTACACTTAGATTTTGTTTATTCTAATTGGAGTCTGACTAATTAATTCATATCCACGATGCATACAAAAAATTTTAACATGATTTTTTCCAAACGCAAAGCTCGAACCCCAGGCCTCTGATTGTTAATTGAGTTGTTGTTGTAAAAACAACATATCATCAATATTCCACAAATTGTCACAAACATTATCATCCAAAAATAATTGGCTCATATTTTGGTGATGATTATTATCATCAAAAATATCACCTTGTTGAAAATAACCACCTGTGGGACTAATCAAGATTTCCCCATAATCACCTTGATTAAGAGGATAATTAGTGTAGCAATTATCAGACATGTCTGAAATTTGTGTCCCAATTGAGTTTTCTGATGAAGTTGTTGTTGTTGTACTAGAATAATTCTCTTGTGTAAAATTCATATTTGGAACAATATTATTATTATTATTGTTAATAATAATATTTTCATTTGTTTTTTGAATATTCACTTGATTATTTGAGTTAGAAGAAGCTTGAATTCTCTCAACTAGCCTTGGTATCCAAAGATAATGCAATGTATCTTTGAATTCTTTGCTATTGACATCACACTTTAGTTGTTTGGCTTGTTTTTGCACTCGGGTTCTCCAGTAATTTTTTATCTCATTATCTGTTCTTCCAGGCAAATGTTGTGCAATTTTCGACCACCTATAATCAACAAGAAAATAATGAGTTTAATGATTTTATACTTTGATATTAATTAATTATCTAAAAAGATAATTATATGCTATATGTTGGTATATTATGCTTTTACACTGTCAGTATATCGAATTATCTAGTGTATATTATGTATAAATGAACATACCTATTGCCCCAACGAGAATGAAGTTGAAGAATCAACAATTGTTCTTCAAGTGTAATATTTCCACGTCGAACATCTGGTCTAAGATAATTAAGCCATCTTAATCTGCAGCTTTTTCCGGTTCTCTTTAAACCTGTTTAATTAATATCCATGACATAAGTTAGTAATTATTAAATTCCTCATATCATACAGCTTATTGGTAAAATAATTTAACAAAAGAACCAATAATATCACTTAATACTCTAACCACTTTTTATTTAAATATAATTAATCATAACCATTTTAATTTTGCCCCTTTTTGTTTTTATCTTAGTGGAATGATTAGATGAGTTTTAAAAAAGATTATTTAGTACGGGAAGAAATTATCCACCCACACACTTATAAACATGAATCTTTTATCTCTCCTCATCAAATATCGTTTATCGAAAAAAATCTTTTTATTTTTATAAAATAGAAATAAGATTACGTATATACTATTTTATTTATATCTTACTTGTCGAATTTCACTATGTTGTTATTGTGATTTGTATGACTACTAGAAATTTGAAGTTTCCCTATGAATATTCCATTGAAAACCGTGGGAAATAAGTTCATAAGAAATTGTTTCCGACAAATTTCAAATTACACATGACGCGCTCCACGAAAAACATCCATGGGAAATTCATAAATTTCGAGCTAGTAGTTATATATAAATTGATTAAGAAGAAGAAAAAAATTGTAATGTTTTCTTATACTGTCAGTGTAATAAAATGTTACCTGCAGAACGAGCGAGGGAATTCCAACGACCTTCGCCGTGAAGAGCAATATGATTCATAAGAGTGAAATCTTCTTCAACAGTCCATGAACCTCTTTTTAGGTCCAAATTATTATTATTTTCATCACCTTTTCTATCGTTGCTATCAATATTATCTTCACTTCTCAAACCAAAATCGACATATTGATGATGATGATGATCCATCGATAATAAAAAAAACCGGAATAAGCTAGTCGAACGCTTTCAAAAGGTTACTCAAGTCGCCTAAAGCCTCGTGGATTATGAGAAACTAAATTTTTTATAGAGAGAGAAGAAATTTTTAGAGAGAGAAAGATGTCCTAAATTAGTGCATGATGAGATAAGAAGAAGTGATAAGGGGTTTATATAGAAGAATAAAAAGAAAGAGAATTTTTTTAAAAAAAAAAAACAAAAAAGTGAGTAAAACGTGTAGATTTGACGGAAATTAAGGAAAATTAATAAGTTGTAAATTTATATAATGAGTTTAATTAATGTTTAAACTGACAAAGCCACAATTAGGAAACATGTCTATTTTTTAGCCACTTGTTTAATTAATTGATGAAAGTCTATACTGTGTGTTAATTAATTTAATTAATTAGTTAATTACACTTAATGACTTCAACTCGTTTTTGACACTTTTTGACTTTGTCGATTTTACTGTATGAATTCACATTTTAATATTAGTTCAATAAATTAAAATCAATTTTTAGATTTTTATTTTCTTTTTCCACTAAGCAAGTTGTCATGGATTTGCTGACTTTCTTAAATTCATTTTTTCAAAGTTAATTTCCTAAATTCTTTTTTTTTTTTCAAAATTGAATAAGATGTCCACTAACATTTGATATTGAAATTTCATGGTTTAAACTAAGAATTTTTTCTATTATTAGGTAGAGGCGGAGCCACATAGACTAATAAGGCGGAGCCACATAGACTAATATACTGAAAGATGGTCAATTGAATATTTTCGTCAAAAATATATCATGTACATCGAAAATTATGATGTGTATGTAGCTTAGTTAAAAATTACTTTTTATACATATATATTGAATGGAAAATGATCAAATATACTGATGTATTATCAAAAATAGTTTTAAACACATTCCTCATTTGAGTTTTTGTTCAAATATACTTCTCTTATTACATCTCGATTGAAATATACATCTTTACAGTGATTTATACTTATTTTGGATTGAAAGTATAACTAGAAGATATATTTGGGCCAAAACTCAAATGAGAGTATATTTAAACTATTTTGATATATAGTACATGAATATATTTGGCATTTTTCCGTATGTTAAAATCTTGGACACTCATAGTAAAATTCTTGACTTTATCATGACTTTTATTAGGTCATCACCCAAAAGATATTTATAGATACACTTCTAAAGTATAAGATTTATAATATTGAAAATAAAATATATTACCTGCTATAAAAAATTAAAATGACATAATATTATAAACTCATATATATACAACATGCAACTCTAACCTAACTAGTTAGGCTTATTGTGTTCATCAAAATCTCACCAATATGTCACCAAACTCTTACTTCTTACCTCTAACTAATCAACTTAAGTTCTTTAATCTCATTATTGAAAAAACGTTAATTGACATTTCTTTCAGAATATCATCAAAAATATGAGATTATTATTATATATTCTCGTTAGAATATTTTTGACAAGCCAATTTTCGATAAAATTTGTTAAAATTCCCGTTTTTTTAATAGTGTTAGCTAGCTTGCTGAAGATTAAAACTATCTGGGCCTGGAGCTGTCTCCTTTGAAGGATTTAATGACAGCTTCTAGCTCCTATACAGTAAAATTTCTCTGCAGCCATTCCTTCTCATCTTCAGGGAGCCTACTTAAGTTCTCATCTTCCCAACTCAGTCTCCATTCTTCTGTTTCCCTGAATAATTAGTCATAAAAGCCTTGGATGTGATCCGTTATGACCTTCTCATCATCCACCAGTTCCTCATCAATTATTATTTAGTCAATACAATTATATATCTTGTGTGCATTGGCCTGTTTGTGAAAAAAACTTTATATTTCTTTCATCATGTTTGATCCATAGACACCTAGAATTTTGTCTCCATGAGATCTCTTCCGCTTTTTTTTTTTTTTTTTTTTGGGTGCCTCATTAAAATATTTATGTGATTTAATGTGAATATGGGCTATGCAGTTATGCTATTGAGGGCTATGTATTATAATTTAGTAATTTTAGAATTAACAAGTTATAAGTAGCTGTACATAACTTCATGCCTATCTACTTTATTTATGATTCAAAATTAATGTGTAAATCCGCACTCTATAATTGCTTATAAGTCCTCTTTAAACAGCTGATTAATCAAGTATATATAGTGAGATTAAGCAAACTCTTAATCATTTTTAATATCCAAGATTGAACTATAACCAACACACGTTGTGATCGAATAGTAAGTACGTGCTCTTTTATCCTGCTTAAACTCTAAATAGTGGCTAAATCAAAATTTCGATTAAAGAGTGTCAAAACATAAAGAAAAAATCACGTAGAAGGTTAGAAGTGTCACTATGATTCCGCCACCTAGCTATATAGTGTAATTTTCTGATGAAGAAATGTCGATCGACATCTCTCAAGTATATGTGACTCCACCACTAGCCTTGAATTGAGAGTTGTCTTTGTTAGTGAGTGTTTTACGTGCCCTTTAATATGATTTTTTTTTGGTGAAAATCTAATTTTTATCGGATTCAAATATAAATATCGAATACAGCTAGGAAACCATTAAGATCGATCAAGAAAATGTGAAAACACATATGGAGAGGATCTAAATATTAATTATTAAAGTAATGATTACAAAAAATAATAACTAAGCAAAGATTGTATACATCTTAAGCCACCGGCCATCTTTTTGCTTGAACTTATTAATATAATAATTTTTATATATTACTGTAAAATAAACTTCTTTTTGTTTTCTTGCTTTATATTATTAATTATATAACTACTATTATATACTATAAAAACAGACAATTCATGGACCACTTTGAGTTTACAATTTTTAAAAATACTTCCATATTCATTGCACTGTTTTAAAGCCACCATATTAAACAATAAACTTCTTTTATTTTATTTGTTTAGCTGTCCTTTTTACAAAAGAAATAAAATTAAAATAGGTACACACATTTTTAGAATTTATGGCTAATTAATTTAAAAGTTAAAGAGGATGAAGACATTTACATAAACAAATTAATCTACAAAAAAGAGTACCCCAATCACGTGTTCTATGACTTCTTTAATTTTTAGTTTCCATTCGATATTCGATATTCGGTATTAATATTGGAATTCAACTTACATAAACAAATTAATCTACAAAAAAGAGTACCCCAATCACGTGTTCTATGACTTCTTTAATTTTTAGTTTCCATTCGATATTCGATATTCGGTATTAATATTGGAATTCAACTTACATAAACAAATTAATCTACAAAAAAGAGTACCCCAATCACGTGTTCTATGACTTCTTTAATTTTTAGTTTCCATTCGATATTCGATATTCGGTATTAATATTGGAATTCAACTAAATTTAGTATCAGGCTCCTTAACAAAGGCGACTTCGTACTCACTAGGACTCAAATTCGAGACCTCTAATTAAAAATTAAAAATAAAGAGTACTTACCACTTCACTAGAACAGTTACGAGTGTATTCGTGACTTTATGATAGATGCAACTAGTACTACTAGAGATTATTAAAGTTATATTACACTTGTCTCTTCTTTTCTTTTTTCTAGTTTATATTGTCATTGTAAATCATTTTATGATTTTTTTATGGCTAGAGATGTCTCATGTGATAATATGTGGGGGATTATTGTTAGCTTGTGATTATTTAAATAGCTATAGTTTAATTTAAAGTATGATTAAGAAATTTAGCTATAAATTGTATATTTATGGAACGTAGCTAGTATAGATAAAAGAGCTAATTGTATCAGATGAGTATTAATTATATTGGTAAAAAAACTGCAGTAAGACGACATATATCAACTGGATAATATCAAGCAAATATTAATTATACTCACTATATATTATATCATCTGAAAACGTATGAAATAATTCTACAGCATAAAATACACTAGACAAGCCACTATTATTTAAAATTAAGATAAAGAAACAAGCTTTGCTTTTAGTAGACATACATATGTAGACATAGTTTCTATTTCTTATAGCCCTTCTTTTTGTTGGGCTAAAGAGGCCTAAAAATATTTTAATATGATATGATATTATTTATTTTAATATATATATATATATATATATTTCAAAAAAACTTTATATTATTGAAAGTATCACTATATTTTATATATTAGTCTTTTTCCTTTCAACAATTGATTCAAAAAATTAGTGATTATCTGATAGTGTGTTACATTCTTAACAATCATCCTCGAACTAAGTTACACATGTTCTATTCTCGCAACATTTGAGTAGCTATCCCCATTACATCAACCGATAGTTATGACCACCAAACATGATTCATGTGATATTATCTGCTTTAATTTGGATCAATCTCGCATAATTTTCTCTAAAAAACCTTATACATTAAGAGTATCTCTACATATTTTATATATACATATTTTTTTCCAATTATTAAAATAAAATTTTATTCGCACCTGAAAAATAAAAAAACTTTAAAAAGGGGTATAAGCTCACCAAAATGGTCTCTTTTCATTACTCAAACGCACGCTTCCCATTTAAAGTATAGTTTTAATATTAAAATATTTACTAATGTTCCCTCTAATGTTTACAAATTATATAGTACACGTAACTATGTTGATTTTTAACTCTAAATTACCCCACATATGTTTATAATAAAATCAAATATATTTGGAGATAGGAATATTTTTTAATATACCTTTTACCTTTTAATAAACACCACATTTAGTAGATTTAATTATTAATTAAGACGTGTTGTTTTGGCACTATATAGCTTTAGGCCCCTACAATATAATTAATTAATTATAGACTTAGTTGATTGATTCTTTTATTTGATTGTTCAATGTATCATCCAATTTCTCAAATTAGAATTCACACTAGTGAAGAAAAGAAGTTTTATAATATATAGTAACATTGCCCTACTAAAAAAATAAAAATGTATATTAGATTTAGCATATAATTCACGGGGATCTAGATAGATAAATTAAGCAAAATAAAATAATTCATGTTCATTAAAAATTATAAAGAGTGTGATCACTATGATTTTTACGATTTAATTATTGTGAATAAATCTGAACGTTCAATCTTAAAATTATAAGAGATTATGAATGGAGTGATAATGAAAGTTTTTAAAGAACGGGGAGAGGGAAGCGTGAGCAGGTTGAGTCAATAACATATCCATTTATCAATGAATATTAGCTTAAATTATTTTGATACGTCCAAAAATTAATTCTTTCACTATAGAAATTGTGATTGATCAATTAATGAAACATCAAATCAATTGGTGAAGCAAAATACGACCAAGATTATATATTTTTTAAAAATAATAGGATGAATGTATAGTTGGTCTAGATTCATTGGCAGTAAAATAGATGTGGATACTTTTGGATTTTTATTTTTTTTGGTGTTCATATATGGCGAGATCAAAATTTTTATTAAGAGTGTTAATATTTAATATATACATACGAAAAATATTTTTTACTCTAAATACTTTGTATAATATTTTATATAAATAATATAATTTTTTCGATGAAACGTGCAGTTCAACTGATCATCCTTCGTTGCACATGTCTATGTCACTACCAATATTCATATTGAGGTTTTATTAAATATAGATTCAAATATTGCAAGACTTGTTTCTAAGCCCGATATTTATAAAAAAAAATCATTCTCAAAATCGTGAACCTAAAAATTCTAATGAAGAATCATAAATTCTAAACTATATGACCACAACTTATATTGATGAACCTTTTGGATTCATTCCCTCACTCTTATCTTATGTTTCAATCAATAGTTATGACTTGTAACATTTGTAGTATACTAGTTGGAATTTCCTTATTTATGTTTTGTCAATTCCTAATAATAACTATTAATGGTGGCTATATATATATTTCTAATTGTCCCCTCTAAACATAATTAATAATAAGTCTATGAGATAAGAGAAATCTCATCTCTATTTTGTAGTTGGCCGTGTGTACAATACAAGTCAAACTAATTAAGAAGCTTCTAAAGTTAGTTCTTATTAATTAATTACTCAAAATAATAGATTAACTTAGCTTACTTTGAGACTAAATAATCATTATTAAATCCCAAAAATAAACTTTTTAAGGTACATGAACTTAATTTGCTTTGCAACCCCATGTACACACAATATATTAGATACTCTTTAATCTAACATTTATCTAACATTTTTTTTTAGCTTTTTGAGACTCAAATTCATATGGATTTCGATTAAGATTTTAAAAGAAATAAATAATTGTACTAACATGAATTTTTTTTTGCACCATATAGCACTTATCATATATAAGCTTATTTAAAATTTAATTTAATTTAGCTTAAAATATTTGTCAGGTTAATTTTAAAGAAGCGAAAAGTGTCACCTAAATTAAGACCGATAATTAATTACTTGCAAAAAATTCAAAAGGCATAAATAAAGAAAAGAAATTAGTTCAAACATCTTAGTAAGAGTTTACTATTTTATTCTATCTAGATAAAATATATACTATTGTTGAGTCAAAAACAATAGTCAAAGTCAACAAAGAATAAAATAGTCTTGTAGCTCAAGGAAATCAAATTGTACATCATAAACTATTGTTAAGAGTCAAATAAAATGATCAACACAAAAGATGACTTAGAATTAAAACTATAATAATAAATTTAGGATTTAATCAGTTGCGTAACCATAAATAATGAAAGAGAATTAGTTAAAGATACTTCATCGGAATTTATATTGTGTATATAGAAAATCGTATTAAATAATACATAGATAACAATATTTCATATATATGCACATGCATGTACTAAATCTTAAATACTTTTTTTTTTTGTATTAATATTTATAATTTTATATTATTTGTGTGTAAATCAATCTATTGAAAATAACTATTTTATCTTCTAAAGTAAAGGTATAGTTCATTAACTATGTATTCACTATCTTTTTCAGACTCCACTTATAATGTTACGCTGAGTATTGTATAAATCTTAAGCTCGTATATTTTGTTGTTAAGAGGAAAGAAGCCGATCGATGGTCAACAAATTAAGTTACATTATTTGAATTAAACTAAAGATAAGATCATGGCAAAGTGTGGGAAGTGTTTAAATTGCACTAAAACCTAATTATAACTATGAATATTTATGTAAACAAAGATTACATTTGGAACTATTTTTTCCAAAAAGTTCCAATTGTTTTCAAAAAAGGTTTTCTTATAAGGCTCTGTTTCACCGACATGGGTTGTGGTGTGATGACTGAAATATAATCCTTCCACCCTTAATTTGAGATTTGGGATTCGAGCTTTGAGGATGAAAAAAAATCACTTTGGGATCATTGCTCCTAGAAATAGGGTCTGCAACGCGTAAATTTGAATTTAGTAAAACTTTATTGCAGATACCCAACAACAAATGAGCAATCAACAAAAAAAAAAAGAGGCTCTTTTTGAACTTGTAAGTGTGCTTTTATAACTTGTAATTAAGTTTACAAACAAATGGCAAATAATAAAGATAAAAATGTTCTATGATTTCTTACAATTGTTGATTATACTCTAAAAGAAAATACCAAACCTCAAACATAGTTGTTGATTTAATTTAATTACTACTTTCTAATTAGGACCAAATGTCTTCAATGTTGCACAAATTGTCAAAAACATCTTCATTGTCCATCCATAATTCTATATTATTTTGTTGATCCATTGCTTGATAATCTTCAAACCATAATTGATCACTTTGATTAACTTGATAATAATCTTGGTTAGAGTTTTCTGATGAAGTTGCCACGCTGGAATTCTCCGGTGTAACGCTCGTGATTAAAATACTATTATTGTTGTTGTTCGTCAGTTGAACGGGTTGTTGAGTATCGCTACTAGAATCATTATTGGAAATTTTGGATGCTTGAATTCTCTCAACTAGTCTTGGAATCCAAAGATAACGTAATGTATCTTGGAATTGTTTGCTATTGACATCACATTTTAGTTGTTTCGCATGTTTTTGGACTCGAGTTCTCCAGTAATTTTTTATCTCATTATCCGTTCTTCCTGGCAAATGTTCCGCAATTTTTGACCACCTACACTCAAAAAATATGTAGTTGTAAGATATTTGAAATTTATGTTCTTGTAAAAAATTCTCAATAAGAATAAATTAAAATGAAAAACTTATGGCTAGGTGTTTTCAATTATAAAAATATATTTTTAAAAAACAAAATTAATAAAATAATATACCTATTGCCCCAACGAAAATGAAGTTGAAGAATTAAAAGTTGTTCTTCAAGTGTAATATTTCCATGTCGAACATTTGGTCTAAGATAATTAAGCCATCTTAGTCGACAACTTTTTCCAGTTCTCTTTAAACCTGTTTAATTAATCAAAACGTTAGTTTTTGGATAGACTAAAATATAAAATATACATATTCATAGTGTAAAAAGTTTATTCATGGATGATATATATATGTTAAAGAATTATTTATTTACCAGCACAACGTGAGAGGGAATTCCAGCGACCTTCACCATGATGAGAAATATAATTCATAAGAATATAATCTTCTTCAACAGTCCATGAACCTCTTCTAAGCTCCATGATATCTTCATCAATATAATTTTCTTGATTAATTAATTTATCCATCAAAATTGATTGATAAAATAAAAATATAAAAAATATTGACGGATTTTGCTAATGATTTATAGAGAGAGAGAGAGAAAGACAAAGTAAGTGTTGTGAATAGATGTATTTTGGAGATAGAGGGAGTTGTGGAGCTTTATATATAGTGTGAGGGAATGATTAAAAAAATTAATTCTATTTTTTAATTCCCATTTTTTTTATTATAAAGTTTAATTTAAACATAGTATGTGATAATACGACTCGTTTTGCACCTTTTGGTTTTGACTATATACTATATGACTATAATAAATTAATTTCCCTTCATTCTACATAGTGGACTCATTCAACTATGTAGCCAAGTTGACATGAATTTTGACTTTCTGATTTCATGTAGACATGTAATAATCCACGTATCATGATTTATAGTTTAATAATATCGGTGAAAATTGTCGCATAATAAGTTAGATTAAAAGAATTTCATTTACTTATAGTTATTATGTTATTGGAGTCTATCAGTACTAAGTCAGGTTCATCTTAATTCATTCGTTTACTTAATATTAGACTTTCATTTCATCATGTTGTCTAAGCTCTATATATCTAATTCTTGATGTGCAGTACTGTTAAATATCATATCGTTGAGGATGGATGTTATGTCTCTTTCTGTGGTTTTAGGCAATTCTGATTGTCTCATGAGTTAAATTTTAGATTTGAATTAATATGATCAAGAGTGTTTAGTTAATAATATAAAATTATAAGGACCGTTTAATAGACAAGAAATATAAAAAAAAATTATATTGTACTATGATCCTAAGTTATTATCCTATCATTTTCTTTTATTATTTGCCAAACAATATACATTGATTATACTTTATCAATATACATAACTTGAATTTATTGCAACTTTTTATAGTAATAGATGTGTATAACGGAAGTCAAAAATTAATAAACTAAAAATTCTAGGCTCACCTTCAATATTCTTAGGTGAAAGCAAAATATGACTAAGTTAATGATATATATGCTCTAGTTTTTGGACGGTAGGGGCACTAATATTCCAAAAACATGACGGAAGGTATTTGTTTACCATTTACGTCAATTTGGGATATATTTATCCTTTCCCCCCTTTTTTCTATCAATCAAATAAAAATTCTCCATTAATGATTTGTCAATCCCTAACAATAATATTTTCTTATCCTATGATTTGACATATCCAATGTAATTTCTTTTTTCTCTTTGGGAAGAAAGCATTAAATTTCACTTTTCTATTTTTGGTTTCTATCTTAATATATACTCCCTCCGTCCCATTTTATATGATGTACTTTGATTTGGCACAAACTTTAAGAAAAATGGAATTTTTACAGTTATTTGAAACAATAGAATTTCATTATATATATATTTACTGCTTTTTTTTTGTTGAAACAAGCAAATACGCTCTCTACAATTTCTTAGTTCATGGCTATGTTTCTATTTGTATTTCTTTTGGGTGATTTTAGTATTGTTTGAATTATTATTTTTTATGATTAGTTAATGAAGAGAAGATATCTTGGCTTAGAAGAATATTTAGGAAGAGATGTAGATGACATTGATGTTTCTTCTAAGATAAGTTCACAGTTTCTCCTATTAATTGAAAGAAGTTTGTTTAATTTTACTTAAGATAAGAAGTACTCCCTCCGTCCCATTTTATATGATGTACTTTGATTTGGCACAAACTTTAAGAAAAATGGAAAGACTTTTAAAACTTGTGGTCCAAAATGAATGATAGAAATTTGTGTGGTTGTAAATCATTTCATTAAGGGTAAAAAAGACATTTTATAGGCAAATTGTTACTTAAAATAGAAATGTGTCATTCTTTTTGGGACTGACTAAAAAGGAAAGTAAGTCATATAAATTGGGACAGAGGGAGTACCAACGTAGCACCTTTGAATTTTCGATTTATCACTTGATGGGGTAAAATTATTTATAGCTATATGTTATACTTCAAGTTCAAACAAGTTGCTAGGATTTGTTGTATAAATCCTCATTGTTAATATAACTAACACATATACTTATTAGGTAAATACGTATATCCTAAGGTATTTTGTTTCTTTATCCTTTTTCATAGCTAAAAGTCTTTATCGAGTTGATTGGCATCATTGCCTCTGATTCTTTCTTTGTTTTCATTGTCGTCTCTATATGAATAGATTCCCATTAACGCACCAAAAAAATAAGGCAAAAGTCCTCTTTTGAATTTTTTGTACGAGACTCCTTTTTTCTATCGTATGAATATACTTATAGGAAAAAGAGAGAATTATCTTTAGTTTTGTCAGAAGAATTAATTACTATTTACGTGTGTAAGGCCCTTTCATGAAAAATGTCGAATAGTTTCCCCTCTTTTTTTTTTGTTGTTGCCAAAGGCACCAACAGAATTAATTATTACTATTAGTTAGTGCTAATATAATGACATTTTTCTATTTTAATCTAATGCTTCTCCTCCTGCACGTGTCACTTTACGGCTGCTAATAATTAATCTACATTTAAATTAATTCAGTTATATGAATTTTATATTTTTTTTTATTTCCATTTATTTAGATTAGTTTCTCTTAGAAGATAAATTTGTGATTATATTACTTTAAATTTACGAATATATGTTGCCCTCACCACTTCCTGCGACAGCTAACAAGGGGCATTTAGGACAACTCGTTCATTTAGCACAACTTCATTCCGCTCGGGCCTCTCAACCTATCTTTTCCTTTTTTAAAAAAAATTCGAACTCAAATATTTATGATAATCATGATGAAGGACAGACCAAGGAAGACGACGTAAAATAACTAACATATACACACATTTTTTAGGCTCAACATCAACAACAACATAACCTAAGAATTTTTTTTATCTAAAGCTAGTTATGCCAAAACAGATAATATTTTATATGATGAATTTGAATCGTGACAAGTGACAACATCATATCGTCTATAAATTCTCTAAGCATTATTACTCTTTAATCAACTTGTACTTAAGAATTCATAAACATTCAATTAGCAACGTAAGCCACTATGTAATTAACACTTCTTAATGTCCGCATTTTTTTTCTTAATTTTTTAAATTTGTATTAATTTAAGATTTCAACTTTCAACCCTATAAACCTAAATACTACTCTATAGAGTCAAAGACATCTCATATTTGTAGTTGACCATGTTTATGAGTTAACTAGTCAAATAAGCAAGCTTCTAATAGTAATTCTTATTAGTTAATTAATTAATTAATTAAGAGATTAATCTAGCCAACTAGGTTTCTTTAAACTAATTAACAAACATTGTTAAATCTAATTGAACCTTTTTAAGTTTAAGGTACATGAACTTTGTTAATTTGCTTCTCACACGTAAGCTATTTGCTCATAATTCAAAAAAGCAAAAAGCAAAAATAGTTCAAACAATATTTGTCAAAACCAATACATTTTATATATATTTCGTAAACTATTTGGTCGAAGTATTTAGGATAATAAATTGTAATTATCTGTTTTTATGATCTTCAAGTTAAAAGTCATGAACAAATTAAACTATGTTATTGATTTTTTAATATTGAAAAAAAAAAATCAATGTGTTGGAACGTTGAGTACGATTAACTTTGAAGGACGATAAAAATCTTGAAGAAAACAAGTTAACAATATAATTATTACCATCTACTTGTAATTGCAATGTTACAAATAATGACACACACACAAAAGACGAAGATAAAATTGTTCTATGCTTTGTTTAATGCTTATTAATTAATTATAACTCTAAAAATATTGCCAAAACTCAAACTTTTTTTCGGAGTCCGACTAAATCCAGATTCGCGCAGAGAAGTTCTACATTGAGGTAAAGCGCTTTCTAATAAAAATGACTTTGTACCAAAGGAGGCTCGAACCTGAGATCTATTGTTGTTGAGTTAATTTAATTTAATGCTCTAATAAGGACCAAATGTCTTCATTGTTGCACAAATTGTTGAAAATATCTTCATTATCCATCCATAATTCTATATTATTTTGTTGATCCATTGCTTGGTAATCTTCAAACCATAATTGATCACTTTGATTAACTTGATAATAATCTTGATTAGAGTTTTCTGATGAAGTTGCCACGCTGGAATTCTCCGGTGTAACGCTCGTGATTAAAATACTATTATTGTTGTTGTTCATCAGTTGAACGGGTTGTTGAGTTTCGCTACTAGAATTATTATTGGAAATTTTGGATGCTTGAATTCTCTCAACTAGTCTTGGAATCCAAAGATAACGTAATGTGTCTTGGAATTGTTTGCTATTGACATCACATTTTAGTTGTTTTGCATGTTTTTGGACTCGGGTTCTCCAGTAATTTTTTATCTCGTTATCTGTCCTTCCTGGCAAATGTTGCGCGATTTTTGACCACCTACACACCCAAAAAAAAAGGCATAATAAACTCGTTATTAGTTGAAAAGAAAAGGAAAGTACTATATGATCAATAGACATTACATTATAAAGTTGTCTTGCCTTGTAATATAACTATAGCAATCTTTCATAAAAAGGTGATATTCCTTATGTTTTAATCTATATGATATAATTTAATAGTGTAAAAATTCTTTACGTCATCTATTAACAAATTAAATGAACATACCTATTGCCCCAACGAGAATGAAGTTGAAGAATCAAGAGTTGTTCTTCAAGTGTAATATTTCCACGTCGAACATCTGGTCGAAGATAGTTAAGCCATCTTAGTCTGCAGCTTTTTCCAGTCCTCTTTAAACCTGTTTATTAATTAAATACGTTAGTTTTAAGATAGACTAAAACAAAAATCAAATAGATAAATTGAGACGAAGAGAATAATAGTATTATACTTTCAATTACAAGTAATTAATACCATATAGTAAGTGACACGTTGCTATAAGTAACTAAATATATATATAGAGATACTGTATATACGTTAAATATAATTATTTATTTACCAGCACAACGTGAGAGTGAATTCCAACGACCTTCACCATGATGAGAAATATAATTCATAAGAACAAAATCTTCTTCAACAGACCATGGACCTCTTCTAAGCTCCATTATTTCTTCAT